GTGTGTGTGTGTGTGTGTGTGTGTGTGTGTGTGTGTGTGTGTGTGTGATTCTGTTTTTATACATTCTTGGGAATGGAAAAATAACTTGATGGAAGAGCAGTTTTCTAGTATGCACAAGGCCATAGCAAGGTGTGGGGCGCAACAGGGTAATTGTTGTTGGTTATTAATATTTATTATTGATACAACTTTCAGTTAAGTAGCAGTTATTCCTAAACCAGCTGTATATCCAAATCACCACACAGAGACTGGGATTTATTTAATTAATCTAGAGCACAATCCTGGGTAATAGTTACTCCATCCTAAACCTCCAAGACTGCATAGTTTCCTATCATTCAGATTCACCCATTATACTTGCTTTTAATGATATCTTAGGTCTAGTTCATTTCTCCACATGATTCCAAGACCTCTTCCTCCAGAGTCTCCTCCTGTCCTCTTCTGTTTCCTGTCTCTCCTGCTTCCTTCCTCTTCCTCCCATTCCAGACCAATATGTCCCACCCTATCCTTTCCATTGCTTAATATTGTGGCCTGTTGTTTTGTTTGAATTGACAATATAGAGAACAAACTGTGGCATGTTTACACAAGCTTGAGACAGGTCATGCTTAGAATAAGCATCACAATGCAATATCTGGATTGAAAACAGATAGTAGGAGAGATAAATCAACATTTGAATAATCCAGGGTAAATTGAATACATCCCAAAAGTACATTATACCAACAAGACCCATTCCAATACATTCTTGAAATGAAAAAGTTATAGAAGTTGCAAGATACTACTGATTTGGGGGTTGCGGGAGGTACAGGAAAGGCAGGGTGAGAAGGACTGGGTATGGTTGTAAGACAGCAAAACAAGTGATCCTTAAGATAATGAGAATGTCTTACTTTGGAAAACTACTTGGTTACTGAGCTACCACGGGCCACATCCAAGCAGAAGTTCTAGGTTATATCCATAGATGGTCCTTGGTTGAGTGTCAGTCTCAGAAAAGACCCTGTGCCCGGATATATTTGGTCCTTGTAGAGCTCCTATCCTTTCCATATCATACTAACTTCCCTTCTTTCATATGATTCCCTGCACTCTGCCGAGGGTTTGGTTATGAGTCTTAGTGTCTGCTTTGAAACACTGCTAGGTAGAGTCTCTAGCAGGATCTCAAGGGCAGGCTGTTTGAAACCCCCCCCCCCCCAGAGGAGGAGCAGTCTGTTAGGCCACAGAGGAGGACTTTGCAGCCAGGCCTGAAGATAACTGATAAAACAGGGTCAAATGAAAGGGGAGGAGGTCCTCCCCTATCAGTGGACTTGGAAAGGGGCAGGGAGGAGACCAGGGAGGGAGTGTGGGGTTGGGGAGGGAATGAGGGAGCGGGATACAGCTGGGACACAGAGTTAACAAAATGTAACTAAAAAAAATAAAATAAAATTAAAATTAAAAAAAGAAAAAGAAAATGTCTCGGCTATTAGAATGAGTATCCACTACTTTACTATGTTGAGTCATGGGAAGCTACTAAACAGAAGATCTTAGGGTGGTAGTCAGATTTTTAGAAAGATGGTTCTTTACCCAGGCATCATTAAAAAGCATATTTTTTAAGTACCACTAGAATCTTAACTAAAAATTCAGTCTTATCTAGAATTGAGCATGGTCAAACACACCTTAATCCTAGATACTCAGGAGGCTGAGGCAAGAATACCAAAGTTTAAGGCTGACCTAGGCTATATAGGGAAATTCTGTCTAAATGACCAAAAGAGAGAATGGAAAATAGTGTGTCTAATGATAAAACTATGGTAATTTAAGACACTCATGAGGAATATAATTACATACAAAAATGCTGAAGAACTCTTTAAAATACATGCATTGAAAAAATAAAATGCAAGCTCTCAAGATGATTACAAGATCCTTGTGATCCAGTGCCTTTAATGGATATTCTAGGGTATGGATGTATTAGTGCATACATGTATTTGCTAAAATGTATACAAGAGAGCTGAATACCAAATAAAGGTAAGACAGAAGGGAAGGGATAAGGATGTTGTCCTCGTGGTAGAACCGTTGCACAAAGAAAGACTCAGGTGGCAAGATGATGCTACAAGAGAGTGTAGGAAGCAGTCTTATTTTCTTTAAATCCTTTGACAGTTTTATACATGCCTATAATCCTGGTTTTAGTAATTATGCATATTTACCCTTGATTGGCCTCTTGTATTCTTACTCATCCTCCCCTTGTACCCCTTCTCAACAAGATCCCCCTCCTATTCCCTAGTCCTTTTGTGCATTATGATCCTGATTTAGCAGGGGTTGCTTGTATTAGCATGGATGTGGGGTTATTTACTGATGCATGGATAACATTGCAATGGCAATACCACTGAGTAAAATGGTCCCCACTCCCCAGCAGCCCTCACTGCCAGTATTTCCTAGTCTAAGACTAGGACCTCATGAGCTTCCTAGAAAGGAATCCTAAAACAATTCATCCTTGTGAATACTGAAGGTCCCATATTACCCGTGTTAATCCCTTGCAAAGACAGAAACACCCTAAGTGTCTAACAACTTCCCCTTTGCTCCATCTCTGAAGGGCTCACTGCCTCTCATCATCCTAACGGACACCAAGCTTCCATTCCCTGAGCTCAGGTGCCTGAGTCATCCAGAAGAGTATGAACTTAAGTTGATTGAAATCTACTTAAAAGTTTTTGTAGAACAGAAAAAATACTGTGACTTAATTGTTTTATATTTTGTTTAGTTTAAGTTATCTTAAGGTGAAAACCTGTTCTAGAATACCTCCAGTATTATTCTGTAAGCTTCTCTGTGTAATTGCTTATACAGTCTTAAGATTTGGCTGGAGAGAAGGCTCAGCCATTAAAGGCTAGGCTTACAATCAAAAATAGAAGATTAGAAAAGGGGGAGATAAAAAAAAAAAAAACCCTGGAGGGAACAGCAACTCCACATGGAGAGCAACAGAACCAAAATATCTGGGCACTGGGGTCTTTTCTGAAACTGATACTCCAACCCAGGATCATGCATGGATATAACCTAGAACCCCTGCACAGATATAGCCCATGGCAGTTCAGTCTCCAAATGGGTTTCCTAGTAAGGGGAACAGGGACTGTCTCTGACTTGAACTCAGTGGCTGGCTTTTTGATCATCTCCTCCCCTTCCCTGAGGGAGCAGTAGCCTTACCAGGCCACAGAGGAAGACAATGTAGCCAGTCCTGATGAGACCTGATAGGCTAGGGTCTGATGGAAGGGGAGGACCTCCTCCCCTATCAGTAGAATTGGGGAGGAGCATGGGAGGAGATGAGGTGGGGGAGGGTGAAATTGGGAGGGGGCAAGAGAGAGGGCTACAGCTGGGATACAAAGTGAATAAACTGTAATTAATAAAAAAAATTAGGAAAAAAAGATTAGAAGTCACTGTTTTTTGTGGACTTAACCATAACATTTTATTCCATTATAGTTTTGGTTTAGCACTCAATACACTTAAAGTCAATAGCTTTTTAAAAATTAATTTTTTTATTAATTACAGTTTATTCACTTTGTATCCCAACTGTAGCCTTCTCCCCCACCCCCTCCCAATCTTACCCTCCCTCATCTCCTCCCCAAGTCCTCTGATAGGGGAGGTTCTCCTCCTCTTCCCTCTGACTCTAGCCTATCAGGATGGGCTGCATTGCCTTCCTCTGTGGCCTGGTAAGTCTGCTTCCCTGTCAGGAGGAGGTTATCAAAGAGCCAGCCACTGAGTTCATGTTAAAGTCAATAATTTATAGAAATTCCTTTATTTCATAATTAGTCTTTATCTGGAAAGTTCCTAAGGGAATGAAGCACCAAAGAAGGAATTTCACAAGGTTTAAATCTTACTTATATTCTAATTTTATTTATTTATTTATTTTTTCTGTATTGAGGATGAACCCATACATGCTAGGCAATCACTTCACTATTGAACTACATCAGTACTGCATTATCCATGTTATTCTGTTCTGAATTGAGAGCCATACCCAACTATATAAGAAACAGATAAGTTTTTCTGTTGTAATTATAAGTTACCAAGTTTAATCTTATTTTTCTTTAGTATGACCAAA